ATATTGGCAGTAAAATTCACCAGCCTGACAACGACTGTTGTCCAGCAGTCATCCGTGCAAGGACTGGTTGTAAGTCCCTTTTATTAGTGCTTTTGGAATGGCTGGTAAATGAGTGGTTGTAAGTTGAGGACTTTCTGTACTAATGTCTAATTGGATCAGACAGTTCCTCCAGAAAGCACCCTTTGAAATCTCCTGTACCGCCCTAGATAAGAACGTTATGGATAACCAGCAGACAACCCATAAACTCTCGCGATAAATCCTGAAGGTGCTGCTTTTTTCACGAGGCAACTGAACTTCCTTGTTTTTCTCTGAAGATGTTTCGTTTCTCATCCAGTCAGAGCTGAAGACGCTTCTTGGATGAGAAGCGAAACGTCTTCAGAGAAAAACAAGGACGTCCAGTTGCCTCCTGAAAAAGCACCTTTGGGATAGCCGTGACCTGGATGACTGAGATTCTCCATAGACATCTTGCAATAAAATCGGAAAGCTGCTTCCATCACCCATGTTATGGGCTGGGGATGGTGGAGGGCTGAAGTCAGGATGGTCCATCTCATAGTGAGGTTGCTGGGCAGCCACTGGACCTGGACCTGGTCTTGAAGCTAAGGAGCTATATTAGCCTGTTGATGTTATTCGCCCACCCCACCCCATCGTTTCTTCTGCTGCAAAAGCACAAGCTTTTCCTTGGCACGATGGCATAGCTTCCCTGCCAAGTTTGTGGTTGAATGCATGCAAATGTTTGTCCAATGCTAGCCAAAAGCAGACCTCCTCCCCCCCCCTTCCTACAGCTTGACATAATTTGGCAGGAGCAACTGTCAATGTTGTGCCAGCCTCTTGATGAACTTGTTAACAATGAAGCACAGGACACTTTGACAGATGTTCAATGATGCCTCAAATTTTCTAATGGTGCACCAACGTGGCTATAAAAGGCCAGAAAAAAAAAATCCTTCTGTGTGCTTTTCGTTCTCATTCATCAAAAGGAAGTGCACATTTGCATCCCTTCCTGCCATGGGTTTAATGGAGGAATTAACACCTTAGGGTTATTTGCTTATTAAAACATCACACTGCTCCCCCCCTCCATATTTCCTCTCTTCACACTCTCACTCATCTTGGCTGCCTCCTTGATGTTTAAAATATGGCTTCCTTTCTCCTCACTTATTTGATCACTCCGTTTGTACCTTGTTCTAATTTCTGTGGCAATATATTATCCATTGCTGGCTGGCTGGGCCTGTCACAACTTCACCAGAGACCCTGTTTCAGGGTGGTCCAGGATGGCCTTCGTGGCTGCTGTAGCGGTCCTGTGGCACAAGGCCACACCATACTTCGCCAGTCCTAGCAATTCCTTACTTTGTCCTGTTATCATCTCTCATGATGTGGATGTGGGATTGGCCTTCAAGAGGCCATGAAGTTGGACTTTGAGAAGCATTACTTTCGACACGTGTGCCTGGCTGAAGAATTCTGGGAGTTGAAGTCCACAAGTCATAAAAGGGCCAAGTTTGAAGACCCTCCTGATATACACCTTGTCCAGCCAGGAATGGCTGATGTTATGGGTCTGAGGCAGCTAATCTACAATCTTAAGTGTATTGGCCCTGTGACCTAAGAGAATTCGACATAACCCTGGTAGGAGATGTAATATGGCTGATGTAAATCTTCTGCTTGATACACTCAAAGAGTCCAAATCATTTCTCTTTGTGTATAAAAGAACTTCTTGTTTAATAAAAGATAGCCTGGAAAGTAATCTTTGGCTCTGTTTGGTAAGATCACATTTTAGAAAGTGAATAAGCAGCAATCTTGGCTTTGAAACATAATTATTCTCAACATTTGGTGGTGACCTTCTGCTCTTCTTATGAGGAAAGGCTGAGCCTGGCTATTCCAAGTTCTCCTGGCTCTAAATAACAAGATAAAAGAAGTGGGGCGGGTAGGGGAAAAAAAAAACTTATCTGAAGATTAGGTGTGCTACATTCTGGATTGTTAGAAAATAGGCAATTGTTAGTTCATAAGCTTGGTTCACACAAAGATTCTTCTCTAAGAATACTGGGGCATATGCCAAGCACATGTCCTGTTCCAAATATGTAGGACTTTAATTGTTCTAAATTGTTGTTTAAGGGTTTCCCAAGGTGTCCTTCCATTCTGTAATTGTAAGATAGTTTCACATAATTGGAAATGCTCATTGTAAGAATTGCTGTGTTGGATGAAATGAAAAGTCTACCGAACTGAAGGTTCTCTTTCTAATGATAGGCAAGCAATAAACCTACAATCAAAAAGGCATGCACACTTTGGAAGCAAGTAATAGTCTTTCATATTTCCACGTCAAGCTAGAAAATCTTCTTTTTAAAATCCTGGAAAAACGCTTCCAATGAGTTTACCCATTCTAAGCTAGTCAGACTCTGTTATATCACAACACAGCTATGATACTAGATCAGTTGAAGAGTGTAGCTGCAAACACACAACATGCCAAGTTTGGATATGGTTAATTTTGATTAATTTGTGTATCTGTGATGTGTGTTTGTATCTGTCTTAGCTTGTGCACACTTACCCTGTTTGACTAGTTGACAGTCCAGTGTGTTGTGTTAACCCAGAAAATGGGTGGATGGATTTATTTATTGTAGTTACAAGATTTCTATGACTGTCTATTTTATACAATAATCCTACGTGGCTGACAACAAAATCAATCAAACAATAATATACATGTGCTTTGTGAAGCAAGCCATGTTAAGCAAACTTGGTGGCTGTAGGCTGCAGAAGGTCATTTTGGTCCATGTTCTTTAAGTCCCTATCCTGTTGATCCTAGTTGGGCATCTCATTCTCAGGACTCTGCTACATTGCAGGAGAGGTTCTGGCATTTATGTTAGATGGCAGCTCCCATCATTGCATACATTTCAGCTGCAATGGGAGTTTGTGCTCCATTTATAGTTGTTGAGGCACCCATGGTCAAATTACAGAAATCTCTAAGTGAACAGAAACCAGCACAATTTTTACAGGGTGCAAAGTAAAGCACATAGAACAGAGGTCCCCAGCCTTTGGGGCACCAGGGACCGGATCCGTGGAGAGAGGTTTTTCTGTGGACCGGAGTGTGTGGTTTTGTGTGCTGCCTACATCCTGCGGATGGGGCTTTCTTTGTTTGTGCACACTGGTTGCTGGCATGCTGTGGACCGGTACTGGTCCATGGGGCGGGGATTGGGGACCCCTGACATTGAACATAGAATCATATGGCTGGAAGGAACCTTAGTCCAAATGTTTGAGGCAACAGACTTTATACCATCCTGGTCAAATGGTTTTCCAATCTATTTTTTGAAAACCTTCAGCAATGGAGGTCCCAAAACGTCGTGACGCAAGCCTAATCTTTCAGCACATTTGAACGCAGACACACTATTTGCGTGCAGTTGTTCATTTTATTCAAAATAAAACAATTGAATGTTAAAAGAAATCTTATTAACAATGAGAAGAGTTGGATAATGGAATCTCTCCTTTATTATCAAGGCAGAGACTGAATATCAATAGGAGCGAGCAGAGTGGTTTCTTCATAGCTTCAGTGGCCCTCTTCTTCCTCTGTGCTTCTAAGCTTTCAGAGGAAACTAAAACCTGAATTTAAGAAACATTTGCACTCATACAGCCAACGGGGGGAGGGATTAATTATTGAGAACAAGAACTGAGCCTCCCTTACTTGGTTAGCATAATAGGAAAGAAAATGGGAAAAAAATTATTAACAATGGCATTTCCACCCAGAAGAGAACAATAGTCTTCATGCAATCATTAACTGCTCTTACCCATCCTCCAGTAGCTCAAGAAGGCACAACTTGACCTGCTGAATTGGTAAAAGTATGCACATTAATTGAAATTGTTTGGTTAAAACAAAAGACAAATTAGTAATCTAGTAAAGAGCTAGCAATGCACTTGTATTAATTGGCAGCACTTGAAGAAAGGTTTGTAGAATAGCCAAATGAAGTGGCCTCTTGTAATTGTCTGCAGGAAAGGAACATAATTTGTTTTCTCAGATGCTGGATTGCCTGCATCGAATTTGGGTAGCTTGACATGATAAGGAAGTGAGGATCGGCTTGACTTACAGTGGTAGAAGGAAAGGAGGAACTCTGCCTTGGTTCAAAAAACAGATTTCAACTGAATTCCAGTCAATGCATTTATGGCCATTGACTGACAGATATTGATACAGACAAATACAAACTTAAACAACAAACATCATACTAATGGGATTTAAATAAATCAAGGAGAAAAAGTTGTCCTATATTTTAAAAAAATGTCTACTATTAACAGACCCCAGACCAGGGGTAGGCAACCTTGACTCTTTTATGACTCGTGGACTTCAACTCCCAGAATTCCTGAGCCAGCCTTGCTGAGGGGAAAGGGAGAGGTTTCCAAGCTGAGCCATGCTGGCTCAGGAATTCTGGGAGTTGACGTCCATGAGTCATAAAAGAGCCAAGGTTGCCTACCCCTGCCCCAGACCAAAAGACTACTAGACCAAACTGATCTAGGGGTTAAGGCGCCACACTAGAAAGCAGATCATAATTTCAGATTTTACCTTAGCCATGAAAGGCAGCTGGGTGACTTTGGGAGATGAATTCTGCGAGCTGAAGTCCACAAGTCTTAAAGTTGTCAAGGTTGCAGACCCCTGGTATAGGGTCTCCAGCCATGGGCATAGGGTTGGACTAGAAGACCTCCAAGGTCCCTTCCAACATTATTCTATGTTCTATGGTTTTTTTTCCTGTTTACATTTAGATTTGTGTGTGTTTTTATACTTGTTTCTTCACTCACATTATGTTGGTCTCTGACTGTAATAGAGATTTAAAATGATTTGATCTGAGCTTCACTCATATACACTTTTTTCTTTGTAATTTTACCTTGTGGTCATAGTTTTTTTGACTATTGTCCCTAATATAATTTCTGCAAATTACTTATGGCAGTATAGCACCATACAGTACATTCACTTTGCCGCAGGCTTTCTAATAGATTTGCTTTTAAACTTGACAAACTGCACAGCAAAACTCAGAAAATTGGTGTTTAGTTTTTTTTAATGGATAGATGAATTTGCATAGTTTGTAAAGTGGTTCAAAAACACAACATGAGAAGCTTGCATTACATTTCTCCTGTCTTCCCCACCCCATTCCTCATAGAGATTATTTCATGTCAAAACATCTATAGAAAAAAAAACACAGAAATTTCCTGACTGGATTATTATTTGGTTTGTGTGGAAAGAAAAAAACAAAACACAAAGCAATCAGGAGAGGGATGAGAATTTCAAACGGGATATATGATCATCATCTGGATCTGCTATAAAATCCACAAATGAGATAAAGTGATTGCATTTGACAGCATCTTAAGGAAAAGCATGGAAAGATGGTTTTTCAACTTTAAAGAAGGAAGATTCCAGTTAAGTATTAAGAAAAAACCCCTCCTAATAAGAGTAATTAGGCAGTGGACATGATAATTAAGTTTATGTTCCTGGCAGCTCAGTCATGGATATTTGAATCTGAGGAAGGAATTGGACTTGATGGTCTCAGGGTGGCCCTACCTAATTCAATGAGTATGTGGCTTTGGAATCTCTTTTTACCAAGCCCTGAAACACCTTGAAATTGAATATAAGTTGCCCATATTCCCAGAAGTAAATTAATAATGCACAGAGAGAATGTCCAATTTTCTTCAGCCCCCTTCCTCACAATAATTACTGTAGCAGTGCTATTCAACCTGGAAAATTAAGTCACTGGACTCATAGTAAGGAAGATTGCTCACCTTAATCCAGAAACTAGAAAAAAATGCTTGTCTCAGTATATCCATCACCTTCTAAAAGCTGAATCCCATTTCTTCCTGCTTGGAATCAAAAGGAGATGCACACTCTGCCTTGCACCCGAAAAGATATTTATTTAGAGTAACACCGCCAAAAGATGTTTATTTAAAGAAACAATTTCATCGGCTTCCAGAGAAGGGAACCTGGGCACTCTGCTGATGCATCATCACCCAGGATCCCTTCAACACCACAGACCACCAACCTCAAGTGGCACTTCATTCAAAAATGATGCCAGGTGATGTTCTACTCGCACGGAAGCAGTTTGATGAATCCTCATGCTTGAAGGACACCATGTTAGGATTGTACAAGAAAAGCTCGCCCTGACTTATGTATCCATCTACTAAATGAGGGAATTTAGAGTTCAGAAACCAGAAGTGCCACCGAACAACGTGAACAGCTAGTTGTGGCTTAGATGAAAGCACAGGGAGGCATTCTACCTTTGACAGGCATTAGATTGGCTGTTTCACACAACACCCTAAATCTTTTCCAGGGTCATTTCAGCCCATGCAATCTCCCCATTGGGATGATATGTTTATGAGAAGCTGTTTAGAAGCTACCAGAACCTAGACTAATTTAAACTATAAAGCAGCAAGACACAAAAATGGAAACTTGTCTTATACCAAATCAAAGAAACCCCAAATTTTCTACTATGTCTGGTAGTAAATTCATGAAGTTCCAGATGTACAAGGACTGGGTTCACACCTTAAGCTGTACCAGGGATTGTTTTGTGCATCGTTTTTTGAGTACACCATGATTGTCTAGATTCACATTTTACAAGAGACTACCTACCATGGCCTGTACACCATAATGGTTCATCCAATACATGAAATCAGGGATGCACAATCTGAGGTTTCAGATGATTGTAATGGATGCCACAATGGGGAGACAGCCTACAGCCTGAAAAATATCTACAAATGAACTCCATATTGAAACCAAGCTAACTACATTGTACCCCTTGAGAACCTGGTCAGCATTCTCCAACCCATTTATCTGCCTCTTTCAGATGGTGTTCTAGAAAAGCATATCCACTGAACAAGATTCAGTTTAAAAGGAAGAGGGTCCTTATAGGCCAAATTGCATTTAAGGTGGAGGTTCAAGTCTAAAAAGGACTGATAACTAGCACTGATGATGTCACCTCGTTTGGGTAATGAAACACTTGCAAGAAAACCAGAGAGCACCAAGGACACCTCATTTCACCTGAGCTTCAAATGCTATCCTTCGTTGAGACTGATAACTGCTAGGTTGTCTGATCCTGCCTAACTAACCAGGGCTGAAATCTGGTATCTTTGTTATTACCATTCTCCAGAGTTTTTAGTTTATTCTGGAAAGGGGTGCTTTGGGCTTTCGTGTTTGAATGCCTTTGTCAGGATGCCACAATTCTTTCACGATATGTTAACGGGCGTGTGTGATTGCCTAGCATTGAGAAAATAGAGAGAACCACCTTACTGCTTTCATGATTGCTCTTTGGACAATCCCTCAACATGGATAGTGAGAAGAGGACACCCTGCAGTGACCCGGAAGTGGAGGAAGAAACAGATTGACCAAATCTCTCTGCAAAGTCTACCTGGGCAATCGGTTTGGTGGTAGCAGAGTTAGCAGGGGACATACACATCCCTGAGCGACCTGGGTCATTGACAGCATTATTTACCAAAAGATTGGGCTCCAGCCATTCAGATAACATAAATATGGATTGTACTGATAGGTGTGGTAGACGGAAAGTGCTAGGGTAGCCCTAGAGAAATGGTTCTCTCTGAAGACTGGGAGAGGCGAGTTCTTCTCAAGTTCTCCAAGTTCAGATGCCAGTTGCTTCCTCTTGGTCTTATATCTTCTGTTCTGGAACCAGATCTTCACTTGGGTTTCGGTGAGCTTCAGATTCTTGGCAAGGTGAGCTCGTTCAGGAGCAGACAGGTATTTCTGGTGGCTGAACTTCCTCTCAAGTTCAAGAACCTGGCTGTGGGAGAAGGCTGCCCGTGAACGCTTCAGCTGTTTGGGGACTCTCAGGAAGGATTTGGAGGGACGCTCACAGTTTGGCTGATGGACATCTGGATCTAGCAGGCAGGAAGAAAGATGGATACAACTTCAGCAACGGCTCTTCAAAAGAGGACAGGCAATTTTACCTCACCTCACTCAGGACAAAAAGATGGCACAAACATATGGATACTGGAATTGCACCTTGCATGCCATACCATAACACTGTTGGGTTAATTTAGCAGGTTGGGCAACCCACTCAAAGGGGTTTTTATTGAGCAAACCATGGTTAGGCTATGGCCTAGTGCAGGGATAGGCAACCTTGGCTCTTTTATGACTCGTGGACTTCTATTCCCAGAATTCCTGAGCCAGCCATGCTGAGGGGAAAGGCAGAGGTTTTCAAGCTGAGCCATGCTGGCTCAGGAATTCTGGGAGTTGAAGTCCACAAATCATGAAGGGGCCAAAGTTTCCCTCATGCTGGCTCAGGAATTCTGGGAGTTGAAGTCCACCAGTCATAAAAGAGCCAAGGTTGCCTATCCCCTGGCCTAGTGCAAAGTGAAAAGCCAGCCATACTAATCCATGAAGAAACACTATTGTTTGATTCACCACATAAACCATAGTTAACAAACCATAATGACTTCCTTCGTACATTATACCACACCAGAATTGAATAAACCATATGACAGCTTTGTGCAATTTGTGAAGCTAACCACTGCTTTTGTATTGGGAAAATCAGGAACCATCTATTTGGAAGTGGTTCAAAAGGAGACCCTATCCATGGAAATGGGCATGTGTTCAAAGCATTTTACATCCTAAATTTGCCACGAGCTTCAAATACTTTGAATAGGCCCATTTCTATAGTAGTTTTAAAGGAAAAATGATACTATTACTGACTGGATACTTGTTAAAGGATTTTACTACTTATCCTATGAGCTTCTTCCTGTAGCAGCTGAGCTGGTCTAGCAATGTACTGTTAACCCACTTTGCCACAGTTAAAATACTTCTGGAAAACCCACAGCAACCAAGGCATGGAGTCCTCCTTCCCTGTATGCCTACAGCACCTGTTATTTACAGATAGACTGCCTCTTGACATGGACGTTTATTTAAACCATGATGATTAACTTTCTTTGATGGATTCATTTTCCATGATTTTAACAACTTCATCTCCTACAAATTACACCAGGTGATTCCCAAGTGTTCTGATAATAGCCAGAGCTTAGTAAAACAACTCAAAGAAGTAGTGAAAGATTGGAAGACGTGGAGAGACCTGGCCCATGGAATTTTTCTTCACACTTTACTAGGGGATTTTTTTTTTTTTTGCTGTTTCTTTTTGTATGGGAAACAATTTGGCAAAAAGAAAGCCATTTCCATAAAAGCAGTTTGAAGTCTATCAGCTCAGGCCTCTCTCCCATCACCTCTGTATATATGTATTTAATTTACATACCTATCTCAAACCATCCTTAATCAACAATCATACAAGCAACTAAAACTCTTAAAACTCCGTACAAGAAAGAAATTAAGTACAAATAACAGCCAAGACAGTAACAATGAGAAGAACATGAAACCTCTGTAATTTCTGATGCAGAGAATTCTTTAGATTTGTGCATGAATCTTCCAAGCGCAACACTTCATAATGGGACCATTTTCCCCAAAGAGAGCACAATAGCTCTTCTGGACATATTTATCATCCCCAACACACAAACCCTACAAGAGATACTGAGATACTCTCATCTTATCACGAAAAAGATGTTGAGAGTTTGGAAAAAATTCAGAGAAGAGCTACTAAGATGATCAAAAGCCTGGAGACTAAAACACACGAAGAACGGCTACGGGACTTGGGTTTGGCTAGTCTAAGGAAAAGAAGAAATAGGGGAGATAGGATAGCAGTGTTGCAGTATCTGAGGGGCTGCCACAAGGCAGAGGGGGACCAAAGCACCAGAGGGAAGGACGAGAAACAAGGGTTGGAAACTGATCAAAGAGAGAAGCAACCTGGAATTAAGGAGAAACTTCTTAACAGTGAGGACAATCAATCAGTGGAACAGCTTACTCCCAGAAATTCTGGGCACTCCATCACTGGAGATTTTAAAGAAAAGACTGGACATTCACCTGTCTGAGAGAGTATAGGTTCTCCTGTTTGAGCAGGGGGCTGGACTAGAAGACCTCCAAGATCCCTTCCAGCTCTATTCTATTCTATTCTATTCTATTCTATTCTATTCTATTCTATTCTATTCTATTCTATTCTATTCTATTCTATTCTATTCTATTCTATTCTAAATAAGCAGTCATCTCAACTTGCCCAGCAATCTTGAAAAGATTTGAACTTATCTTATCAACTTCCCCTATTTCTTATTTAGAGGTATAGGGGTAACATGATATCAGTATTCCAATATTTGAGGGGCTGCCACAAAGAAGAGGGAGTCAAGCTATTCTCTAAAGCACCCGAAGGCTGGACAAGAAGCAACGGATGGAAACTAATCAAGGAGAGAAGCAACCTAGAACTAAGGAGAAATTTCCTGACAGTGAGAACAATTAACCAGTGGAACAACTTATCTCCAGAAGATGTGGGTGCTCCAACACTGGACGTATTAAAGGAGACATTGGACAGCCATTTGTCTAGAATGCTATAGGGTGTCCTGCTCAAGTGGAGGTTGGATTAGAAGATCTCCAAGGCACCTTCCAACTCTGTTGTTCTATACAACATAGGAGCCACTTTTGCCCAAGGCACTAAGTTTTGGGTATCCGGATTCTCTGAATTTTCATGTTACCTGCTCGTTTACGGTTTTTGCTGCCAACACAGTACATTCTAACACAACGTAGGACGCTTATGTTGGAACAGAAGGACCAAAAAACCTCAGAAGGCGTAACAGGTGATACTTTTTGGTCACAAGGATTAGTCGGAAAAGATGCTCCCAGGGTCCGTTCCCCCCCCCCCGTTTTTTTCCTTTTTTTTTTGACACCATTTGACCGGCCGCGGGGGAAGTAGAGGCAGGGATCCAGAGTGGAAGAAGAGTCGTGCTCAGGATGTCGTGAGGACGCGGCCGTTTGCAGGAACCACGGAGTTAATCTTACCTGTCGCGTCCGTCTCGGAGGCTCGGGGGGGCCCGAGAGGGAGGAGGCGGCTCGAGCTGGTCTCCCCGGGAGAAGCTCCGTGGGAACGAGGCGGGCGCGACGCCTTTCCTGCCTTCGGCTCCGCGCTGGAAGTCTCCCGCGCGTCGCCTTTGCGCAGAATGTCCTGGATGAGAAACGAAGTCAACTGCTTGGAAGGGGGGTCCAGGGTGGCTCCGCCGCCCCCATCTGCGGGCAGCGGCAGCCGCGGCGGGCGGGCGCGGGGGGAAAGGCACTGCTGGGCGCTCTGCATGAGCCTTGCTGGCGCGCAAAGGGGCGCCCGGGCTCTCCGCGCAAAGTTTGGCAAGCCCGTGCGCTTTAGGTTCCCCGCGCGTCGGGAGGGTCGCTTATGTAGCTGGGCGGAGAGGCGGTGAGCCCTCCTCGCTGGGGATTGGTGACTCCGGGCCCGAGATACGCCTCGTGGGCTTCTCCACCCAACAAGCCGGGCCCCCCGGTGATCTCCGCCGTGCGCTCCGGGCCAGCGCGTCCCTCCCTCCTTCCTTCTTTCCCTGCGCGAGATGCTTTGCAAGGGATGGACCCTGGAGACAGCGCTACTACGTAGGGGAGTTTGTAGGAAATGCACTCGCGAGGTTCAGGGGCGCGCTTCTCCGGGTATTGAAAGGCAAGCGCACTCCAACCTCTCGGTTGCCTACTCCGGCCTTCCCCAAGCGGGCGCCCTCCAGTTGCGTGGGACTTCAGGATCCCGGTGGACTGGGACGGCGGGAGTTCATGTTAAGCCTATCCAGAGGTAGAAGCTTCGGGGAGGTTGCCCTCTGCTCAGGGCTCAGTCCCGTTGACCTCGTTGAGCATTCTGTGGGTCTGTCAGGCAGATCTTCTCCTGGGTCTGCCTGGGAGGAGAGAAGGACCTTGTCGCCTCACCTGGAGTTCAAGGTGGAATGTCCATACCAGGGTCTGAGGATTTGCAGCTTCTCTTGGGCTTATCACAAAAAGCACCCCGCTCTCCAATTCACTCAGATTTTTCTCCTGGCAGAATATCTTTGGCATTTGGCCTCCAACTCAGAAATAAATAAGACCGGGTGCTTGCTTTTTAGATATCCCAAAGTTGAAAAAAAAAAAAAACCAAAACCCAGTGTTTTGTTCCAACAGTGCTTTTGAAAGAAAGGGGAAGCCCAATTCAATAATAATAATAATTAAAAACATCTTTGCACAATCCCTCACCTTCTGAACCTCTCCAGATCCATAGGGCTACAATGTCTGCTGTCCACGTAGGCATGTCCATCACGCTGACTTAAGATTATGGGAGCTATACCCGAGCATTGGGAACCCAACACAATGGAGAGCTTATTTTTGTGTTTCTGTAGGAAGGGACAGTTCTACAGTGACAACTTAAGGATACATCACATCTGGAAGTGAGCTGGGCAGCATATAAATGTAATAAATAAATAAAAACGAAAAAGATTTCCGAAGGGAATCTGTTGAGTACTGTAGTCCAATATTGTCATCTGTATATATTTATATTATTTTTATTAATTTTTTATGCTGACCATCTTCCCTACAATGTGACTCTCGAACCTGTGTATACCCCTGGACCCTGAGTTGTTCACCTTACTAGGATATACTCTACCACTGAGCAATGGTTCGCAGTGGCACAAATTGAGAAAGGCAGATAAATGTATTTAAGCTGGAAACAAGCTCCACTGACTGCAGTGTCTTTATTTCTAAATTAAGATAGAAGGTGATTCTTTCCTTCTCCTTTCAAACAGGAGCATTACTTAGATCTGGTACAAATTGGACTGCAAGGCGTTCAAACCTGTCAGTCCTAGAGGAGATCAACCCTGACTGCTCTTTAGACGGCCAGATCCTGAAGCTGAAACTCAAGTACTTTGGCCACCTAATGAGAAGGAAGGACTCCCTGGAGAAGAGCCTGATGCTGGGAAAGATGTAGGGCAAGAGAAGAAGGGGACGACAGAGAAGGAGGTGGCTGGATGGAGTCACTGAAGCAGTAGGTGTGAAGTTAAATGGACTCTAGAAGATGGCAGAGGACAGGAAGGCCTGGAGGAAGGTTGCCCATGGGGTTGCAATGGGTCGGACATGACTTCGCAACTAACAACAACAACAACAACAACAACAAAGGAGAATATTTGTAGCTCAGAATTGAAACGAGGGATCCGAGCTTGATTGTTTTCTTGCAGATATTGATTGTTTTCTTGCAGATGTTTCAATACCTAACTAAGTAACATTATCTGTGCTAGAAGGGAATGGGGTTAGTAGAGTGAAAGAGGAGGAGAAAGGAAGAGGGAGAAGGGGGAAGGAGGAGGAAGAGGAGGAGGAGGAAAAGGACTGTAGGGTCCTTGGTGCTCTCTGAGCTTGGTTGGGTTTTTTTTTTTTGCAGATGTTTTATTACCCAAACTAGGTAAGATGTTACCTCATTTGGGTGATGAAACATCTGCAAGAAAACAACCAAATTCAGCGAGTGCCAAGGACCCCTCAAAATCTCAAGTAGATTTTTCCCCCCGTATTTAAGCTTCCTTTGAGGTAGCAGTCATCATAAACTCAAAATTATCTTGCTTTCTGGTGGGAACGCTCTCCATCCAGCCCAAAATAAACATACAGAAAATACTCTGTGTTAAAAGCCAGATGTAGGAATGGTCTTTCAACCAGGGAAATGACCGGAGAGGATCAACTTCAAGAATGTCTTGAAGACTGACATTATTTCTTAAGTATCCCAAAGAGTATTGAGCTGTTTAAATGCCGGTCCTTTGAGCAAGTGCTTAACAGATGGCACTCCCATGTCCGAAGGAACTCTGACAAGCAACAGTTGGCTTAATTCCACTCAATAATGAGTCTATAATGAATGTCAATAAATGCCTGGCTCGATTAAGCCGGTGATTTCTCCTATGCTTTTAACCGAGTGGGTTTTCTCTGTAACGGTTCATCTCGCCTTTCTATTCTCTTTGACCTTTTTAGGAACTGTCAGGAGCTGACAATAATTCTATGCCGGTGCTCCTCTTAACTGGCCAGAGGAAAGATTTATGCAGCAATAGGAAACCCGGAGTATAATAGGGGCAGGTTTTGGCCATCACTCTGCCCTGAAGTGGGCTGCACCCCCATCTACCCCCCCTCCCCCACAGCTTCTGGGGAGGAAATTAAGACCCTTCTTCAGCTGGCTGTTGAAATGCTTAGATGGTGTGCAGACTGGGTGGCCTGTGGGATGATGCTTTTGTAATATGCTCAACCGCTTAGCGGGGGCTTTTCACCTGTAGCGCACATTGTTAATGTTTGCACTAGGCCTGTGGGAAATGACCTTCTAACACCCCAACAGAAGCTGTTCAGTTTGGGGAGAGTGAAAGGATCAACTTGAGACCTCCAGCAGCAAGGGTTGCCAACTGTTCGTCTCGCCAACAGTTCGTCTTGTTGGAGGGACACGGGGATTCTAGGGTTATTGTTTTCTCTGAGAGAGTTGCCTCTCAGCCATACGTTCATTAGCAAGAATCCTAAGATATTCTGATGGGACTGAAACAAGCTGTAAAGTGAAGTTTGCCCTATTTCAGGGGGTCTTCAAACTTGGCCCTTTTATGACTTGTGGACTTCAACTCCCAGAATTCCTCAGCCAGGCACGCTTGCCTGGCTGAGGAATTGTGGGAGTTGAAGTCCACCAGTCATAAAAGGGCCAGGTTTGAAGACCTCTGCTCTAGAATATCCCCTCCCTCTCTGAAATATTAAAAATGTCACATTGTACCAGGATATTTTAAGTAATGGAACTCCACAGACGGATGAAGTTGCTTAGGCTAAGAAACATTGATCTGGAGCAAGGGGTCTTCAAGCTTGGCCACTTTAAGACTTGTGGACTTCAGCTCCCAGAATTCCTCAGCCAGGCATGCTTGAAGACCTCTGCCCTATTTGAACCCTCAACCCAGTCCAACAAAGCACAAGTGGTCATGTTCACACAATGCACAATATCCAGACCAATAAACCACATTCTGGCTGAATGGGACGACTTGCTTCATTCAGCAGGCAAAGAGAATGGTGGCCTCAATAGGAGAGTCTGCAGCGGTGACCTGCCTGAACAAGGGGTTGGACTAGAAGACCTCCAAGGTCCCTTCTAACGATGATGACGATGATGACATTCAAGATATTGGCTGTGGGGTCAGGTTTGACTCCTGCAACTGAATCAACCCATCAATGCAACTTTCTTGACTTAGTTCAGTTTGTGACCGTCTCTTTTTTTTCAACTACTCATTTAGTACAATGCTTTTCAAATCTCAACAACTTTAAGAGAGGCGGACTTCAACTCCCAGAATTCTCTAGCCTGCATGAGATTGCTAAGATTGAGAAACACTGGGTCTAGTAGGTTGGGAAAACCCAGCTGAATCAGGTTTTGCAATCAGACCTCCACCTGGCCCAAACACAGTCCCTTTTACAGTAAGTAAGGCCTAAAATTTCATTTTCTTCTTTGGCTTTCTTTTGGATACGTTTTATTGGTTTGGTTTTTATCTGTGATATTTTACTAAGCATCTGGTACAAACTGCGATGCTGGAAGAAGTTAAAATGTGCTTTGAATGTTATAATACAAACCTTGTACCTAATTAGGGTAGTCTGTAGGGCATGGTCAAAAGAATCAATAGTAGCCACAATGGTGCAGTTTTTATGTCTGGAGTTTCTGAACTTTATGTAAACATACTTGCATATCCTTGAAATGAATGCCAGTCACATAATTTGCCTTGTGACATCACCACACAGTTTGTAATTCTCCTGTATGCCCCCTTCCATGGATGTTCATGCTTATTTATTCAGCATATGATGGGAACATGACAAAAGAGAAGTAAACATATACACACAGTCCATGTAATTATAACTTCTATGGGAATATGGCAGTGGCGTCATAACTGGGTGTCCAGTTCAGCTGTCCATGTGTACATTCTGACCAGTAATGAATATTTTTGGAGGATTTTGGGTTTTTTTTTGCAAGTTTGCCTCTTTGTGGCCTGTGTAGGTATTGCACAATTCAAACCCTGCTGCGTTTGGAGAAAAAAAACATAAATATTTTGACTTGGTGGGTGCCTTACAAAGAGATTGCTTTGAAGAGGGTTTATTAGGTTATCTACAAAGCATTTACTTTAAAGCTTTAGCGTATTTCTTTTCACTATATTTTACTTTTCTTTTCACTATATTTTACCGAATAGTTCATTTATTTTGTTTGTATTTGAAAGAATGTTCTAACCGGGTTTTCTGAACAAGGAGGCAAGATATTATTAATTGGATAAGCCAGAAAGTTTGCAATTAGCAAATACATTGTGTTCCTATTTTAAAAAAAAATCCCATCACTTAAGTCGGTGATATGTCTTTCTCCATCCTTGTCTGCGTTGGATTAAAAGGGAATCATTCTACTCACACCGATTAAGAACAGTGGAATGGATGGGACCCAGAATGTTACATTATTCTGAATTTTGTGTGGAATGCATTGTTTATGTCCAGGTGTGTATTTGGTCAAAGTGAAAGAGTTTCTTGATAGATGCTGCTGCTTTTGTTACAGGGTAGACAATCTGGACTTAAGTTTAGCTCCACTGTTTCTGGCTCCAGACTCTATTACATATGTTACACCTGCCTGTTATATTAGTCAGTTGGAGTCAGTAAACCATTGGCTGTCCTGTACGGCAAGTATAAACAGACATCATTGTCTGGTAGCTGAAAGTAAGCCAGAGAGCAGAGGAGAAATGCCTAAGCAGTTTTTAAATTAATCCAATTAACAAGACACGATCATGATGTCCCTACTAAGCACTGTAGCCTCTAAATCAGGCACGCTGGCTGAGGAATTCTGGGAGTTGAAATCCACAAGTCATAAAAGGGCCAGCGTTGAAGACCCCTGCTCTAAATAATTTTATTTGGCTTGGACATTGTGGGATTCATTTCCAAAGGAAATATGCATAAAATTGAGTATAAGAGGCACTTC